TGGAGAGTGGCTTGGCGACTACATCAGCCAATTCCCTCAGGACTCTGGGATGCACCTCATCAGGTCCCATGGACATCAAGCAGCCAAAAAAAGCTAGGCACAGGAGGAATTTAAAAGTCCAAAACCACTGAAGGTTTACCATAGCTACTACAAACCTAGTAATCTAGAACACCATCTAAGTCTTTTTAGGCCACTGATCTCCTGCTATGACAAGAGATATTAGTAGGAAAGCTCAGGATAGTAAGTGATGTTCTAGCAGCTTACAAGAGATTAAGAAAAATCATGTTTTGGTTTAATTACAGATATAAGGAAACAATAGTTTAGACTTGCCTGCAAAAGGACATAAGGAAACTGGTATCAAGGACTGTAGGACAAATGGGTCTTACATAGCTGCTCTATTAGTTTTGTGGGTTACTCTGACATACCTAGCCCTAGACATAATCATACACAATGTCCAAAACTTCTACAGGAATACTTCTCCCTAGTATTACAGAGGCACAATGAGAATTGGCTCTGAACGCCAACTCCTATGTTCACTTAAAGTATAGACAAGCTTTGGAAGAAAAAAAGAATGCATTTGGACTTAAATGCACATTACACTTTAAGAGTTTAAAGACAGCAAACATGGATCGACCAGCTGAGCAGCACTGGCTCTTGAGATAAGTGTTATTATAAAGCTATTAACATCTAAGGCTGACTTTCAAGAAAATTTTCCATGAAGAAGGCAGAGCACAGGAAAAAAAGTGAAATTTGAGGAGATCAACATGTTTTTTTTTCAATGTCCAAGAAAACCTAGATGCAAAGAAGTCTTGCAGGAGAAATGCCTGTAGACTGAAAAAATACCAACTGTGGAATCACACTGACTTTCTTTGGTGACAGTACCACAAGAGTTTGGGGTTGTTTTTTTTTTTAATGCTACTTCTAGATAACGTTCTATAGGAAAGTATGTGTGACAGCATAGAAGCAAGCAAGTTGTTTTAACTAAATAAAACACATCTGGTTCTGACCTTCTGATTAGAACTTCATTATTGGTTATAGCTCAATTTCCTGTGTCACAGTCGTATCTCAACTCAGAGCCAACACCCAATTGTGCTGAATAAATATCACTGCAGTAGATACTGACATGAACCTCTTGCTCATGGAGAGTACACTCTGGAAATGTAACCAAATTAAAAGGTTTAACTATCGTTCACTCACCCACCCCCAAAGAATATGGGCTTCCATGTTAAGTGCAGTCCTATTTACCCTGTTTTGGAATGAATGCAGTCTCCACCTTTTGTATAATACTATAAAATTGTTCAAGACTGTTCGCTTGCAGTCGATTTAGTCTGTCTGGCAATTCTGGCAGCAGCTATCTTCAGCCACTATCCTGTACCTTTGAAAATTATAACCACTTAATCTTTGCTTATGTAATGATTTTAAATATACAGAGATCCAAGAAAGTTAACTGCAAGCCTGTGTAGTCTTTAACTGTAAAATATAGCAGAATTTCAGAGGCAGCATAAGTTGGTAGACAGTGATACATGTTACAGAAGGTATTTACATCTTTTTAAAGCCAAGCAGGAGAAGTAACCATACAAAACAAAACTGAAAATCCTGAGTTAAAAGTTTTTGGATAGCATACATAAGAGACACATGGCCACGTTTCTGACTGCTGAAACAACACATGCGAGTTTGAATTTTTTTTTTTTAAATAAATGCCTTGTCAATAAGAATTAACTACCACAAGACTCTATGAAAGGAAACCCTGGACTTTCCTCTACACCCGGAACAAGACTGAATGCTTTGAGGTATAATGTGAAATACAATTTACCAATACAGTTACTCTTGTTTCCCCACACAAACTTATCTTCCTATAGATGTCATACTAGCCATCTAGTGATCTCTTGAAACTCAGCCAGGAATAAAGACTTATCAACCTGAAACTGCAACACAATGTTGTTGAAACAGACTTCTTACAGTACTGTGCTGGTGATAACAAACACTGACAAAATAGTCATCACCCTTCAAAGCAGAAAGTAGGAATCTGTGTACAGAAAGAGTCACTATGAGCAGCAAGCTGAGCGCCATGGAAGATCTTCCCTGACTCAGGGAGTTCTCTGGTCTCCTCAGTATGTTTTAATTGAAAAGAATTGCCAGGGATTGATAGGCCTTAACACATGCCCTTAATACTACAAGGTATGTACTTGCTTACCAAGTTCCCATCCTGAAGTCAAAAATAAATAAATAAATCACTCATTCTTTCCCTTATCCCACTAACTAAATTGAAATAAGCATTGCCTCTTTTTGCTGACTCCTGTCAGAGATTAACAATCACTTTTTACCATTCATAGTGATTGTACCAGCATTGCAGTCCCAGCACAACAAATCATCATCACAAATGTGAACAACACCAGCTTTGATCTGATTCCTTCCACTACCATCCCTAGGAGCTTACCAGCAGCAATACAGGGCCACGCAATGCCAGAAAAAGTTTCTTTAATTCTTTGTGTCTACACAAACACAACACTAAAAAAGGTGATTCAAAATGATTAAAAAGTAACTCGGAAGGGCATCAAAAGCCAAAACTGCTTTCTAAATCTTTCTCCAGTCTACCACCAGCAGAGCTGATCCAAGGTCAGGCACAAATTCTGA